GCCTCAAACTGACATTTTCTCTATTTAGCACTTTAATGAGGCTTTTGACAGCATATTTCCCCAAAAACGTATTTTGATTTCTTGATTGTTTTATCATGAGTTTAGATTTCAGATTTAAGTAAAATTAAATTGTTGACAATATCAATTTTTCCCATCTATAATGATGTTGCCTATTGATTTTGATTTAGTTTTGATTTTTGTTTTCCTGATTTGAGATGGAATCCATGTTGAAGGCTGTAGTCTAATTTTCTGCATCAAATCTTTCAAGTTCTTTCAGCTTACTGCAACTAAGATTGTATTACCTACATAATACAAATTTTTGATGAATCTACCTCCAATTCTAATGACACATTCTTCATCATATAGTCAAGCTTCTCCAATGATTTGCTTAGCGTACAGATTGAATAGATACAGAGAAAGTATACAGTGCTAATCCACACTTTTCCTGATCCTAAGCCATCAGTTTTCCCTTGTTCAGTTTACATATAGATATGTTATTTTTTAAATGTCTATTTGTGTTTTTTGTGAAGCATTCTTCTAGGTTGTGAAACCCTGGTATGTCCACTTGCTGTACAGAGGTAACTCATGGTTGCTGTGAAGCCAAACACTGATGAGTCAAATACAAGATTGGTTACCCATGGTGGACAGTGTTTGGTGGAACTCTGGAACTCCCCAATTAAAACAAGCTTGGAAGCAGGAGTTACATCCACTTTCATAATAGTTTGCCTCCGGAAATTCTATCAACCTGGAGAAAGGACGAAAGTTATACTGGTGTCCAGGACTTTCATTCATAGGGTCGCTATGAGTCACCTATGACTCGACAACACTGAACAACAACAACAACAATCTGTGTTTTATTGATGATGGGAAATGTAGCACTGAGAATGAGCAAAATGTGCATGCCTTGACCAAGGTAATCAATGTCATTAATATGTACAAAAGATAAAGTATGTTTGAGTGTCTATAGGTCAGATATTATAAATGCATAAGTCAATTACTAATTGCCATTAAGTTAGAACTGGCTTATAGCTGACCCACCATTGGTTCTACAAGGCAGTAGATCACAGAAGGACAACTCTATGTACAACAGGCCTAAACCCTGCTCTAACCTGTGCTAAACTTACTGTCTCTGATACACCCACCCCCATCACTCCAGTCACTGAATCAACCCATCTCATTGAGGGTCTTCCTCTTCTGTGCTGTCCCTCCACCCTCCCAAGCATGACATCCCTCTCCAAGAACTGGTCCCTCCTTGCAACATGTCCAAAGCATGTCAGACAAAGCTTCAGAATCCTTGCCTCTAAGGAACAGCCTGGTTTAACCCTCTCCAGGATGAACCTGTTTGTTCTCTTAGCAGTCGATGGTATATTCAGTACTCTTCTCGAGCACCGCAGATCAAAGGCGTCAATTCCCCTTCTTTCATCCATAGTCATTGTCCAGTTCTCTGATGCATGGCAAGTAATTGAAAAGAGCATGGCCTGTATCAGGCGCACTTTAGTCTCTAGACAGACATCATTGCTCTTCAGTACCTTGGAGAGGTCTCTGACAGCAGACCTTCCCAAAGCTATGTTGTTGATGTTGTTATGTGCCGTTGAGTCGTTTGCGACTCATAGCGACCCTATGTACAACAGCCCTAAAACCTGCTCTATCCTGTGCCAATCGCATTGCCTCTGACACACCCTTCCCGATTACCCCAGTCACTGAATCAATCCACCTCATAGAGGGTCTTCCCCTCCTG